GATTTAAAATGTGTGGTCTAGCTACTTTCATCCAATTTAAGGGTGTGTGTTTAACTGCAAATAGACATGCTATAATTGGAACGTATGCTTGTTATATAATTTTGTTAATTTCTAGTGATCACTCTGCAAGTAAAATATATGATCCTCTTCATTTTGATTAAAAATAATCTTTAACTATAAAATTCTCTGAGTTCGATGCTACATTATCATGAGCTCAACAGGTTCTGAATATTTCTCTGGCACAAAGACTAAAGAGCAGAAAAAGTAATAAATGTCATACAGACCCAATGCTATCCAAGCTTAAAAATAAAAACCATATGCAGGCATCTTAAATGACTGCCCACCCTTCCCCGTGAAAACGGAGGAATAAGACAAAGGCGTACTAAAGATTGCATTGTTACAGGTCTATTATTCCTCAACTTTTCACTTTCAATCAAGACACACATTTGTAACTAAAAAACTGCTGAAAGCACAATTTCAGGGCATCCTCTGAATGTGAATTAAACTCGGGCTTTTTTTCCCAGTGCCCCTCTCTCCCCACCCACCCCCGGCATAAGTAACAAGAGGCCATTTTCTGAAGGTCGTCTGAACGATTTCAAAGGCGATAACAAATCAAAATGTTCCCTGCATCTAATATCAAACAGGTCTGGTGCCAACACTTATTAGAGGAATCGGATTCAACCCCCCCTCCCTTCACCCAAACACACACACATCCAGCTTTGAAGTGGAAAGAATGCAGGGATCAGAAATTACCCGAGAGACAGTTCTGGCTGTCTTTGAAGCTTTCCTTTGATACTACTACTTCTTTTCCTCTCTTACGCTAGGAGGCTAAAAGCTGCCTTTTCTTATTGATATGGGGTAATTAATGAAGCCATAGCATTAACATAACCCAAGTTTCTTAACATGGTAATTCAACTGAGACATTTATGTTTCTTTAGTTAGGGCTAACAGATGCAAAATTATGAATTTGGCCAGGTAGGGATGTTAAGCCCCCACGGCAAATGTGCCATGTCATGGGTCTTGTTAGTTCCTGTACTTACAGAAAAGTGGTGTGTCATCATGCCAAGCAAATCTCAATGCAGTCTTGTGTTTATTAGCAGAATTAGGCTACTAATGGCTTAGTTTATGAAAAACCTGCCCTGCAAGGATGAGCTGCATGGATTTATTTGCTCAGAAATCTGAGTGGCACTAGTAATAATTGCTTTCCATGTTTGGACTCCAGTGCAGAATAAGTATGTCCAAGTTTGAAATTAGGGGTGGCACAATGCCATCACTATAGCTAAAGCTAATTAAAATGCCTCAGTATGTGGTGGATGCAATGGGCCAGCAAAGCGAGCTGTGGAAACTGCAGAATAATCAGAATATAGAATCTACTGTATGGCAAAGGCTGCCAGATCTCACTTATTTTTTTTATTTTCCTTTTGAAAAACAATGTCACCAAAAAGGAATTGAGTTGTATAGTCGGGCAACCTGGCAAAGGCATGTTCTGCAGGTCTTGTGAATAATTCATAATATAAGTACAATCAAACTTGTATTAAACTTCCCCTGCACTTTTCAGAAATCTACCCATTCTTAATTTTTGGCCAGAATGGAGGAATCTTAAAAAACCAAAACAGAAATAAAACAGTTTCAACCCATGCAAGGTTATGACCATCAGCTTCATCTATTTTTTCGTCTTCATTTTAAATCGGGTATCACTTCTTCTTGTCCATATAAAAATGGACTAGCTGCGGTAGAGGCCAATTCTTCGGAAGCTCTCGCAACTCTGCCAATGTACTTCCATAACAATCTCTAAAAACCTGACTATGCTGACCTCCGTTTTCTTGTGCAAATGCCAGACTTCAAAATAATGCCAAATAAATGGTTTAGCAATGTCCAGGAGAGACCACCACACTAACTGCATCTGTAATCCCAGCCGTGCCTGGCCCCCGGTTTTTAGAGTACTAACATGTATACCACTCCCCACAAATCTCTATTTTTGTTTTGTTCACATCTGCAGCCCAGAGGACCCTGACACCGTTTTCCTTTTAAAAACCAAAACCACACAGAAGTTGGCTATGCCCCTATTCTACCTACAAGTCTCTCCCACTCCATTCTCTCCCTCTATCAACTACCAAATCCACCTTCACATATAATCCTCCAATTCCGACATCCTTTTCCTTGCTTGGCATATTCTTGTTAGGGGGCTAGTCTTATCTGAGTTGCCTCATCAGTCAGAAATTCCCTTCCTACTCTATTTCCTCCGAGACGCTTCCTTTCCACATTTTACTTTCAATGGTTATTGGATCTGCCTCCCAAAAGCACTAGCAGGATTAAGTGAATACTGTCTATAAAGCAATTTGTCCAAGTTCAAACTTCCCTCTCTATTCAGCTTATGATAAAGACAGAAGCGCAGGACCTGCTACACCACCTAAAACCACTTAGTTGAGAGTTTTTGCTTCTGACTGTGAATATCATATGCATCCTAGCAATATACATTAATTCTAAAACAGACAATTATGAAGTAACCTGCTCATTAGGACAATATCTCCCAAATGCCCAGTGAGATCCTGAACGTTAACAACTCTCTTTCTCTGTCTTTTATGCAAAAAACATGTTGTTATCTGAACTCTTTATAAGCTTTTCCTTTCGCTTCTGTTCCTCTGCGTCTCTTCCAAATGCTGCTTTTCTCAGCTCAGGCTGGGAATTGAAAAGCTTGAGTAGCACTGCAAAACCTCACTCAAGTGCTTTATCCAAAGTGTCTGCTGAAAAGGAATTGGAATCGACTGTGATAGCAATTGACTATAATCACTCGTTCCCAGCAGGCCCAATAAGTAAAGTGAATCATTGCAAGACTACAACCCCACTCTTCCTCACCAATTACCAATGTAGTTAATTAGGGAACAACAAGGAGCCCCCTGTTTGTCGATCTACATTCCAGTTGGCTCAGATAACAAGCTACATATTTATTCTCCGCTTCGCACCAAACCTAGTCCTGATTTAAGTGGATAAAATGTGATGGAGTTGTGTCTCTTTATACCTGCAATAAAATTTGGACCTGAGTCTAAGATTGATAAAGATCTGGGGTGGCCCACTGGAACAGTATGTACATCACCATGCAAATGACACGGATCCACTCAGATGAGGTTCTTTGGGTGATCCACTCAGCCTCTTCACTGCAGGACTTTACAGAGCCTGGGAGTTAACATGATATACTACTCTTGAGACTTAACACTGACCTAACCAACCGCCCAACGCTGGGCCCCCTGTTTCATGAATAACCTTTATCAGTTTGTTTTTAACTAAATGGGGTATTACTATATTTCAAGGGAGCTTCAGACAAAATATACCACACACCTGAGTGCCACATGATATAAGAACTCATCATCAAGCTCTATCAGTGCTTTAAGGAGAGTAAGAGTATCATTTTTCTTTGCAAGACAAACTTTTGAAGCTCAAGAAGTCAGGTTTTTTTCAGTAACATTCAGAATCTCTCTCTTGCTCCATGGTGTATAATAGAGACATTTTTGTTCCACATGTGTAGTTACATCTGATTTGCATTATTAAGCAGGCAGGTTTTAAAAAAATACCAGGCAATTCTTGTTTTTCTATTTCCATCTTTTTGTTTCCCCCAGAGGGAAAATTTCTCACCTGGAAAATGAAGTTGTACTTCTCTTCAGTAAATCAGCTCCTAACCTCTTCTGTGGAAAAGAGGATCAAACTCAGAGCTACTGAACCTAGGGTCAGTTCGTAACGTGCTGCTGTATGTTAAAACAGTTATCTCTTTTGAAATAAAAAAACCCCATCTCCTCATTATAACATGGCCTATGGGTGCTGAGTACTCATCTACATATAATGAACTTTGTATTTTAATAGGATTCATAATAAGAAGAGAAAGCTCCAGAGAAAATGTGAAAGGCAAAGGTGCTTAGTACTTGTTACTGGCAAAGAGCGAGTCCTAGCGGGTATCTCAACAAGAGAGCCCATTCCACTCGGAGGAGAGAAACCAACTGAGCTGAAGGCTGTCAGGTCCCATTACCATCTTCTGATGCTCTACAGAGAGCCATATGGAGTGTATGCAGTCAAAAGAAATTAGGGGGTTCAAGCAGGGTGAATTCTTCATAAAGCAAATCACTCATGGAAACAGGTTACCCTTCCTTTAATAGCTGCTGTTCAAGACGCACTATTTCCAACAAACAACTTACTGAGGACGACCAATGATTTCATTGCTGAGCTTATCAAGTTGAGTGCAAAAACTAGCCCAAGATTTCCCAGTGGTTCTCAAAAAAGAGAAATGCTGAACCCTGGGCTATTGATGAGCTGGTACACTGACAAAAATATTCCCTCAGTAGACACTATTAATGAGGCAACTGGGGTCTAAGGTGATAAATTAGAAATTCAAGCAGGGGCATCAAGGCTTAGAGAAAAATCAGACGTTTAGGTATGAAAATTCTGAGCAAAGTGTGTTAAATTTAAAGTGAAATGCTTTACACGTTTCATCAAAAATTAAATGCTTTCATTTTTTAAACGAAATCCTCGTATTTTCCCAAGCAGGAAGCAACTGTGGCCACCTGAAACCCAAGATCCTGCTCCTGCCTTTGTTTCAAGGTCATTTGCATCATCACAGAACCTCACAGGAGGTGGGAGGCTTCATACCAGCTATGAACTGACTGCCCGGAGGAGTTTTCCATCTATCGACTCCTCTGTGAAATCCTATGAGATATGAACTTGCATTCCTACCCAGGAGAACTTTTACAATCTTTTCTCCAATGTCTGATGAAGGGTGTTTGTGCCCAAAAGCTTGCAATTAAAGATTATTCTTGCAAAAACCTTGTTGATCTAATAAAAGATATCATTTCTACTACAAGTCCTTACACAACATCAGCACAGATACTTGGGATGGCTTCATGTTAGCACACACACCTGTGATGGGATTCTTCTTTTTTTTGACATGCTTAAAAAAAAAAAAAAGACATCACAGAAGCATAAATTTTAAACTGCTGGAAATGAGAAGAACGTACCTTGCCATCTTCGGTGTAGACGTTTTCATTATATCCCTTTACTATTGTCCGGTCAATGAAGAGACTCCGCATCACCACAATCACTTTTAGCACTTTTCCTAGGGTAACCTGTCAATTATAGGATAACAAAACCAAAATTGAAAGAGAGCTGGTGATGTTGGCATTCACAAGGTCATGGAGTTAACAGCTTATGTTGTTAAAATTTCAGTTTGCAACACTTTTCTGAAAGACTAAAATAAACATCTAAAAGACTGTGTGTGTGTGAGGAAGAGGCAGATTAAAAGACATGGAATAAACAGTGTCATTCATTTGTGACTAAAAAATGTATGAATTCATGACATTCACTAGTGCAGACAGGGCACTGTCAAGCAACTCTCTCCCACTTACCTTAACAAAACAATTCAATGATATGTCAAAAATAATGAGCAAATGTTATTATTTTCAACATATTTTTCCATGCCTTATGCCTTCAACATTACTGCATTCTTAGAAAAATACTTTGGGGAAAAAAAAAAAAGCAATTAGACTTTGCTCACACTGCCCTTGAAATACACGTTATGGGTGTGAAGCAAAACATTTTCACACTAATAAAAATGTAAAGCCTGAAAGCTGTTCAAAAAAGGGGAAGAAGTTACAGTGGGAAGAAGCTGGAGTTACAAAACAGAGTAAAGTAGTATTTTCAATGGTTTCTCATTTACTCTTGTAAGGGGTCAAAGTGAAGAGAGTAAAACTGGCATCAAGGGAAACAGGCAGAGGCTGGCTGAGTATAGAAACAAAAATAATCCTAAATTATATTATTGACAAAATACAATTAAGAAGGCATTTTAATATAAAAATCAATTTGCATTTCCAAGATTAATTTGCATTTCAAGATTGTTAACAAGATGCATGTCTAACATGGATTTTTGTCTTTGTGCTTTGTTACAAATACAGCCTTACAGAGTTTTCCCTCCACCATAAAAAACCACAGAAGTCAGAACTGGAAAACACCTGTTGGTTTATTTAAATCCATCTCCCTGCAAGTGGAGGACAGCTTTCTATTATATTTTCCAGCATTTTGTCCAGTCACGATTAAAGCATACTAGAGGGACTGTGCTTCTACTGCAAACCTCAGCAGACAATTTCACAGATGTTAGGGGCTGGAAGGGACCTTACAGATCATGGGGTCCAGGCCCCTCCACGTGGGCAGGAAAGACTGCTGGGGTCAGGTGATCCCAGCAAATGGGTATCAAGAGGTTTTCTGAAGATTGCCAGGGTGGGTGACTGTACCACTTCTGGGGGAAGCCTGCTCCAGACCCTCAGTGCTTGGCTTGTAAAGAAGTTTTTCCTTATGTCTAGCCTGAAGCCATCTTCAGTCAGCTTGTGCCTATTATTTCTTGTCCTTCCCTGGGGGCCCTTGGTGAATAGATGCTCCCCCAAACCCGGATGTACGCCCCTGATATACTTATAGGCTGCATCCAAGAACCCCCCCCCCCCGACCCCCCCCCCCCCCCCCCGAGTCTTTTCTTCTCCAGGCTGAACAGTCCCAAGTCCCTCAGCCTCTCCTCATACGTCTTGGTCTCCAGACCTCTAATCATGCGTGTGGCCCTCCTCTGGACTTGTATCAAGCTTCTCCACATCCTTCTTGAAGTGCGGACACAGTACTCCAGCTGCAGTCTCACCAAGGCCGAGTAAAGTGGGAGGATGACATCCTTTGCCTTGCTCAAGATGCCTTGGTGAACGAATGCTAGCGTTTGGTTAGCTCTGCCAGCTACGGCATCGCATTGGTGGCTCACGTTCATTTTGTTGTCAATCGTGACACCCAGGTCTCGTTCAGTTGTGTTGCTAGCAAGCACAGCACTGCCAAGCCTGTAAGTGTGTTGTGGGTTATTTCTCCCCACTCTCCTTACTCTACAGAACGCTGCTGGGGGAAGATCAGTCACAAATGCCTGACCCAAACACATTCTTCTGCTTGAAACAAGGTCACCTAGAAAGACCCTCTTCAGGGTCAGAGCCCTGAACCTTTGGAGGACTATACTGAGGTCCCAAAGAGAAGCAGGGTCTCTAACTTGCATGTAAATGTGCAATAGCCCACTGTGAAAATCTGAGGCAGTGATGTAAGAACATCTCAAGCACAACTGCACAGTGGAATGACTAGAGGAAACTGCTGTAAAGCAGACTTCAAAACCTGCTGAAGGAAAGTGTAATAAGAGATAAGGACCTTCAGCACTGCTCCCTGCACTGGGTTGGACTGTCCATATTGGGAACTTGCTGTCTTCCTGCCCCATAAGGATTTCTTGATGTGTTGGGTTCTCTCCATGGTACTGAAACAGCTGAAAGCATGGCTCTTAGGTGCAGTGAGGCTGGAATTTCATCAGTAGGTCTCAAATGGGGTGCCTTGAGACCCTATCAACGATACATGGAGCCAGAGCTGATGCTGTCACCACTGCAGTCAGGTCGAACTGCCCTGTTCACCTCTGTTTCCAAGAGGTGCCCAAAAAGCCAGTTACTCCTACTTGTAGCTGCTTCCTGCTCCGACTACAAAAGTGTCTCCTGGAAACAGGGGTATAGGTTGTAACCATATTGGTCTAAGGACATAGACAGACAAGATTCTTGGGATAAACCTGATATCTTTTATTAGACCAACTCAAATAGTTGGAAAAATTCTTCTTTGCAAGCTTCCAGGTACGCATACTCCTGGAAACAGGTATGCAGGACAGTTCCACCTCAGGGCACCATTGCAGCAGCCTGGAGATAAAGCAGGGAAGCGGAAACTTTGAACAGTGGTTCTCAACTAGAGTGCCGCCAAATTCAGAGACGTTAAGAAGGGGAGCCTGGAGCCTAAAATGGTTGAGAACCACCAATCTAGGTGGTGAACCTGGCTGTGGTGCTATGAATCAAGCTCCAAGAGGAATGGGAGTTAAATAGGTGGCTGATTAGCAAATGTGTAGCACGCCTGTTATGAAAGTGCCTCAACCAGTTAACAGTTGAGAACAATCATAGGTTTTTTTCGTTCGATCTCGACCATTCCCATGAGGATCAGGTGATTGTGTGTAAAGAAGAAGAGCATCTGATAACAATCCTATGTTCACATCCCCTCTGGAATAAAACTCCTGGCACTCAGTGCTGCTACTGGTGGTGAACAGGTCTATCACTGAAGGGCATCAGCTCTGTGATGTACACTGGCAGCTATCACCGTTGCCATCACAAACCGAGTCCACAAGATTGTTGCAAACTCCAGGAGGTGAACAGCCATTGAGCTTATTCTACATGAGTGACATGATGTCCACAACTTAATCACTTCCAGAGAAATGTGGGATGAGTATATATCTCCCCATTTGTTTGTGTAGTACATCACAGACAAGCTGTTCCTCAGGCTCTGCCCAGTAGGTTTTTGGAGAACGCATCAGAAGGCCTAACAGCTTCAAACACCAAAAAAAAATTAAATTGAGTCTGGGAACAAGTCCCTTGGATCTTGCAGGCAGTCCAAGTAGCCCCCCACCCCAACCTGTCCTGATATAACTGGCATTAAAATCATAGTCCAGGAAGGAAATGAAAATGGTATCCTTCAACCTACATTTTTGGATTCCAGCCACTACTTCTATTCTGTGAAGACTTGAGGTTGCGCTATGACATTTTCATTCACTTAGTCTCTCAGCAGGACATAGACTAATGTGAGCCACAGCTGCAGGACTGCAAGTCTGGCAAGTACTGTCATGTATGTGCCTATTAATATATATGGCTTAGCAGCTCAAATGTGACCCAGGGCTTAGCAGCCCCCATCTAGTCCATACTGTGAAGAGTCAGGTTTGATTACATCTTGTATACTAAGAAATGCAGCCAACTCAAAACATCTCTAAGAGGGTAAGAGAGATAAGAGGGCATCAGAAAGCATGGAAGGACAGAGGTGGCATATTATAAGCTTGCTACCATAGGTAGATTCGTATCTACTGTAAAAAAGAACGAAGATTCAACACAGCACTGGTGACTGTGATCAACCAGAAGAGCTTACCTTAACTTCTTTATTGTAGTCAATTCATCTACAGTTGAGTTACTTCCCTTGAGTTCACGCAGATGAAGGGAAAGTGTATGATGACCACTGTACAATGACCTAAGTTGCCATGTGTACTCTGCTACTGATCTCTTTTACGTGTGACATGGAAGAAATCTGTGGGGCTGGGCAATTCAGAATCGGGCAGGCAAAACAGCAGCTTAAAGCTGCTATCACTTCACAACACCCTCAATTGCTTTAGGTCTATTAATGGTACAGTGTAAAATCTTACCCTTGATGCACGTCCTTTAAATTTACTTGTAGATTTTTGTTCCTTTCTCTATTACTCACACTACTTTGCATAGCCATTACATATTTAGCTTTTAATACTCTTCTAAATCAAACCCTTTAATCCCTGATCATTTTTGTTGCTCTTCTCTGAACTCCCTCCAGCTTGTTAATATCTTTGTGGTAACAAGATGCCAAGAACTAAATGCAATACTCCTTCCTCTTCCGTGAATAAATATCAAGAATGCCACCTTTTAATACCATCAGTCTCCACAGGCTTATGCAGTTCAGAATCTCAATCTGGCTCCAGAAAATGTGTTTCCACTATGGGAATAAAGGAAACCAATATCATGCTGCCAAGTGTGCAGTAAAATATTTAAACCTAATACATTAAGAAAACCCATAAACAAATGCACTGTAATTTTTAAAATCAAAATATTAAAGACTGTGGATAAATTGGAAAGATCACAAGCCTATTTTTTATTTGTCTTGTTTACAAAATAATAAATGGCAGCTTTTATTTTCGTTTACTATTACAGTAGGCAATCATATTAAAGGACTTCATTAAATAATCATTAAATAATCCCGGAGACTCCCAACATGCATGCTACTTTGCATTTATATTATTTGCCTAAAAATCATTGACATATTTTGATTTTCTAAAAACACTGAGTAGATATTGAAGACGTTAAAAGAGAGTTTCTCTAGGCAAATGAATTGTGAATTTAAGTTTATTTGGATAGGTATTAGTAAAAGTTGCCTTTTGTGGAAACTCTTAAGTTTTATAAATAATCCATTAAAAAGTAAGAGTCAACCTGACTGCTTTAATATTATATGTGAAACTTTATTT